AGGGTTGAATTACAAATAATAAAAACAATAACCTCCCACACAGAAGATGAGCCTGCTAGGCGGAATCCGAGGCTGGCTCTGTTTCTTGGCCACCTGTGCGGTGCTGGTTTGCGACGAAGCTGCATGAGACCCTCATAACGAAAAAAAGATTTAAAGTGTAGTTGCTTTAGATTAAGGTCAGACGCTTACACTTTGTGTTACACTTTCCATGATTTCTACAGCAATATGTCGATGATCTTTACTGCCTCCTTAGCAGAGGCTTCACGCACGGAAGCTTTTCATGGCACGGAGATAAATAACATCTTATCCAGCCTCTCTTCAAGAGACAGGGTATTTTTTTCTCCAGGCAGCTGGCAACATATGAAGTCATAAAGGTAATACAAGAGTGCCTCTGAGCGTCTGCAGAGTGCCACTGTCAATGAACCACCAACATCAGCCACGACATCTGGCCTGAGGGGAGAATTTCGTTAGAAGATGGGTGACCAGATTGTCCTCTTGGGCAGCCTGCAGCTCGACTGAAGCTGACCCAGGAATGGCTGCAAGCACCTAGGACCGAATGGCAAGACTGGTTCTCCTTTGTGTTACGCTCTCCAACTGGTGTTTCCGTAGGCCTGAGGTTATGACCACGATCACTGTGTATTTTTCCCCCATGGCATTTCAACAATTTGTTGCAGGTCAACTTGATCTATCTGTGGTATATATTTTGCTCTCAGCAAAGGTCAAACCTCAAGCATCAAAGGGCGGGGCCCTGAATCAAAGCGCTAAGCCTAAACCAACAGGACCCACTTTCTAGCAATGTTGACAAGACAGATGTGATTTGAGAGCCAGTGTGGTGTAGTTTGTCGGACTGGGATCTGGCAGACTGATTGATTTGAGAGCCAGTGTGGTGTAGTTGTTAAAGAGTGTCGGACTGGGATCTGGCAGACTGAGGTTTGAATCCCCCCTTTCCATGGACGCTCCCTGGGTGACCTTGGGCCAGTCACAAGCTCTCAGCCTAACCTCCCTCACAGGCTTGATGTGAGGATAAAATGGCGGAGGGAAGAATGATGTCAGCTGCTTTGGGTCCCCAGTTTGGTGTAGTGGTTAAGTGTGCAGACTCTAATCTGGGAGAACCGGGTTTGATTCCCCACTCCTCCACTTGCACCTGCTGATGTGACCTTGGGTCAGTCACAAGCTCTGGCACAGCTGTCCTTGAAAAAGAGCAGTTTGTGTCAGATTGGGGTGAAAGGTGGGGTATAAATGAATCAAATCACCAATTGTCTCTTAACGTGATGTATCATACCATGACCCTTTACTGACATCAAATAAATTTCCTCACGCTTTAGACTGCTTCTTCCTTCACTAGTATTTTATTGTTTTTATCTGCTCCACGAGAGGGGCTAGAACCTCTGATCTTTCTCAGTATCCTTTCCGTGTTAACAACCTAAGCCATTCAATCACACCTGATTTATGACACTATCTTTGCCCCCCACTCCTCCCTTTCCCGCCCTCCCCTTCTGTAACTTTCTGAATAAAAATGAGGGGAATGATTCCCGTTGCATCTGAGGAAGTGAGCTCTGACGCACAACAGCTCATGCTGGAGTAAAAACTCATTAGACTTTAAGGTGCTCCAGGACTTGTTAAGCTCAAGAAAGACATCCTTTCGCTTTTGGCTTTATTAGAAAAAGGGACATGACTCCATGTGCACACAGTATATACAACAACTGTTGTCACAACAACAACAACAAAAAAGAGGATGATAGTCCCCACCCCCACCCCCCTAGCACAATTCAATGGAAACTAACATGGACTTAGTTTTGCCGTAATGCTCACTCTCCATTCAGGGGGACGGGTGTTTTTTTCCCTTTCTTCTGGAAGTTCTCTTGTGGTTTCAACTGGCGCCTGTCCAAAACTTCAGAAGCTGAACCTTTTCCCAGAATGGAAGTGGAGTGATGGGAAAAGCTTCACTCGGCTGAAATGTTGGCCTCCCACAACAAGGAACCTGGCCAGCAAACCCCCAAAATGTGGCAACTTGACAGAACACTTTTTTTGCAATTTTATTAACATCCATCCCTCGTCCACTTTCTGAGGGAAACCTGAGAAAAGTCTGCAAAGCAGAAAACGAAAGAATGGCATTTCTTTCCACTGGCCTGATCACAGCATCTGAGAGCTTCAAGACTGGACCCTCTTGGCCATTTGATGCAATTCCAAACGTGTCGAGACGCACAAAGCAGGCCTGACTGAAGCAACCGGGGGTGGACGTTATTTGTAACGACACTGACAAAATCAAGGCTCCATTGAAGAGGTGCGTGCCAAGTCCTCGTGTGTGGTTGCCAAGAGTGCTGGGCGGTAACCCTGTCATTCTGCATCCACCAGAACACATGGCACAGCTGCCCTGGGTGCCAGGTGCCAGCTCTGAGACTGCAAAGACATTTAGAGTTCAGCTACACATTCAAGAAACGTTGGGTCGTGTGCCCCCCCGTGCCCCCCCCACTGCTTTATCAAGGAGGAGAAGATATAAGAAAACTTTAACTTTTTCCTCCCTGGCTATTTTCTTCCTGGAAAAAGCAACCCTTCATCTTCTTTTGGCACCCGCTGGGGAAACTTACAGGTACCCATATTTCCAACCCCAGTGGGTATAAAAGGAGGTTGGGGAGTTCCCAGTAGCAGGGGAGGAAAAGGTTAAAAGTGTCCCTACAACTTTCTAGTCCTTGAATCCCAGAGACCACATTTACAAATTCTAAAAGTCATAATATGTAGTTGAGCTTTTATTTGGTGATGTGCCCTGTTCTCTCTAGGAGCACCGTTTGCTATGCAACCTTTGGAAACTGAACATGAACAATTTGTAATGGCTTACATCATAGCAACGCAGCCTATACTATCCTAAGAAGAGACCCACGGAAGACACGACGAAGCAGATACTGCATGCTGCCCTGCCCCAACGACGCATGATGCGGGGCGCCAAAATCAACACGCACGGATGCCGTTTGACTACGGCGTCCCGTTTAACAACGACAGGCTTGCGGTCAGCTCCATCGAGACAAATATGGCTTTCCGTAAAGGCTGAACTCTGTACAGATCCACTTGCAAATGCTTCCCTGAAAGGACTAAACAGGAATAAAGATCAGGAAAATCCAACTTCTGTTGGCAACATCCAGGCCAGTGGGATGGACTGTTTGAGCCCCCACAAACCAAGCAGGGAAGATGCAAGTGCTGTTCATGAAAGAATGACTACCGCAGTAGCTGATTATTAAAAGTGGTAATGGATGGGGAGGGGCGTGGCCCAAGATTGGCCTTTTAAGAGCCGCTCGCTCCGCAGAGAGCCACGGGGAAGCTTCCTCTGCATTGCAGGTGAGCATCACCTGCTCATGGCTGCAGACCAAGCAGTTGTGAGCCAGGAACAGCCAGCATCCAGAGTGGAAGACGCAACTGGAGCATGGAGCCCACAGCCTGCTTGTGACAACTCTCCTTCAAGTGCTCCACCTCTGTCACATGCTCTAATAAGGGTTGTTGTTTTTTTGGGTCAATCAATGAGGCATTCCAACCACACCAAGCCCTCAAGACAACCTCACGGGCCGAACTACTGAAATGGTGCCCTTTCTGCGGACTCCTGGCTCTGAACTTTTCAGTTGTTACTGCTGCTCGTTTTTTTTCCTGTTCCGGCAGAGCTCCGGTATCCCTATATGACAGGGAGAAATCTAACAAGCAAAGCTCTCCCCAGTATGAAGGTGCAGGGGTGAACAACTGCTTTACCAGGTGAATCCGGAGCCTCCACAAAGCTACTGTCGGCACAGGAGCCTTGCCAGGAAAAGGAAGGAGCCAAACCAAATTTGGGCCTGTGGAGTCTCCTGCTGCACTTTAAGAAGTACCAGGGCTGCAGGAGCAAAGTCATGGTAGGACCAGGTGAACCTACCGTCATTCTCTGCAAAACCCAAAACAAACCCAACATTAGCGGCTACAGCCATCCATACCTTAGGGAAGTCTAACTGAGTCCACATTCTATTTTATTAAAAGAAGGCTAACTGTGAAATAAGATAACTGCTTAAAGGCCTGAATGAGGTTTGCTCCAGTCACTCTGTAGCGCGAGCTCCTCAGACTGCAGTCTGTTTCACGGACTGGGATCCAGAAACTGGGTTGCAGTCCTCAGGAATTCCAATGGCTTGTTTCTCTCCTGCAGCTCCGACGACACTTCTCTGATTCTCTGCTGATCACTTGCAGCCTCGCGAAAATAGTGTTGATGCTTCCCTTTATTTCTTTCAAAAGCAAAGGCGCGGGAGTCAGCGCAAGCCCAGTGCAAGGGTTTGTATGCTCCAGTTCCTTGAAGCACTGGGGCTCCAAAACAAAAAAGTGCCAGGAGCAACTGGGACGGCAGATGCAACAGAGAAGACCACATTCAGGGGTGACCAGTGCCTGCCTGTGAAGATAATGCTTGAAACAGATGAGCAGTCCTATTTTCACCAGTGTAAAGTTCTCTATGTACACTTTCCCAGCAGGTAAATGAAAGTCAAGTACTGGATACCTGGGGAGGTCCCTCTCCCCAAAGGTCTTTTATATTGTTTTTCTAACATTTAGCCCTTATTTCCCCAATACCTGTCAGTATCAGATGCAACAACAGTGGCAGCATCTGTTAAATAGATAGGATTTAAAAAATAAATGAAAAACCAAAAACACAGTAGTAGTATGTAACAGCAGTGTTCAGTTCGACAAAACTAGGCTTTTGTTCCCATTAGGTGTCTGAAGAGGCCCAAACTCTGGTATGAAATGGTACCATGGATGTTTCTGGAATGGGCTAAGCAAGATGGAGACAGGGCCATTCTGATAGGCTTCAGATCAGTCTTCTAAAAACAAACCAGCAGACATGCTCCTTCCAAACCAACAAGCATTTTGTTCCTTGACCGGGGTTTCTTCGCAGTCCTGCAGAATCCTCCATGCTTCACTGTTGCAGTGGAATAATGAAACTTTCTGGATTTCAATGTGCAAAATTAAACCCAGCAAGAGACTGGCTCCCCCCCCCCGTGCTCTTCACGCTTTGGATTGCCTTTCGTCCGTCCATTCCTGTTTAGTGCTCTGGAGTGCCTGAGTTTTCTGTTCATCCACCTGGACGTAATCCACTCTTTGCTCTTCAGAGAGAAAGGGTTTCTGCCCAAGAAAGACAATGGAACAGAACAGAGCTGTGAGCAAAAACCTTTAATAGGGATGGAGTGGGGCTTATGCCAACCCCCCCCCCCCCCCCCCCCGCCCCTGCTGCCCTTAGCTGGCCTTTCGTTTTCACCTTGATGCTGAGGGAGTCATTGGCTGACAAAAGCATCTATTGGCTTAATCTCCCATCTGTCACTTTGTCACCCAGAGTAAGGGTAATTCTGCATCTAGCACTCGCTCCATATTTTCTCAACTGGGAGGAAAAAGTGCAACTCAAAACCACACTCAAATACCTTGGGGCAATGCTGTACGGACTGCAAATGTCACCCCTGAATGGGCCATAAATCTACACAGAAGGTACCATAAAACCCGATGATCAAAGGAAACGAAAGCCGGCATGCAGTGTGGAGGCTACTATAAAATCCAATGATCAAAGGAAGTGAAAGCAGCATGCAATGCAGAGGGGAATTTCTGTTCCAAGGTAGGCTTTGTAAAACAACGGAGGGAAAAACCAATGCAGAATCAGCCCTAAACAGGTCAGGGAGACATGGTAAAACAGCTATGAAATGACATTTTTCCCCCTTTGGAGCAGAAATGCAATTGAGGTGTATTCTGGATTTTTCTTTACCCAAATCTGTTTTACTTTATACAGTGCAGCAGCTGGGGCTGTGATTTCAAGAGGAAGACCAGAGTGTGGGTGGCAGGAGGACAGACATTTTTCCCTCAGCCCATTTCCCCCACCAAAATCCTCCCACACACACATTACTTTTTGGCCCTGTGAAGGAAACGTACAGGCACCAAACAGCCAAATCCCACGTCACAAAGTCTTTGTATCCCCCACAGGTCGTGCTGACAGGGATGCAGTACGAGTTCCATGCCTGGAAATTCATTTCAAGACATGTGGGGCCTGATTTGCATTGGCACCATAGCTTGTAGGGAGAGGAGGAGCTCGATCCTTCTTCCCTGCACCATTTGTCCAACCTGAAATGAGTCATTTTTTGCCAAATTACGGAACTTGAGTGTAACTGATGGGCTACCTGCAAGTTTCCCAAAGAGCACGAATTACCATTTCAGGTTCAGAAAATAGTGTGGCACCTCTCTCCCTCCACAAGTCCTGATCTGAACTGAGAACGGCAACTCCCAGAACACCAGGGCTATTTCTGGGCAGGAACGCGCAGGAACGGAGTTCCGGCTGGCTTCAGAGTGGGCCGCGCCCACTACAGCCAAAACCTCTTCATGCGTGGCTACAGAGGGAAGGCCTGGAGAGTGACCCCCCCCCCGGCCACTCTGAGGCGGGCAGGCCAGGGGCCCCATGGAAGGATTGGGGAGGCATTTAAATCTCCCCGTGCCTTCCCCGGCCTGTCCAAGGGTCGCCTTGCCTGGGCTTCCCACAGCCACGGGTCGCCCAGGCAAGCCAAGGGAAGGCATGGGGGTGTGGCCTAATATGCTAATGAGCTGTGCTGTCAGGGGTGTGACCCAATATGCTAATGCATTTCTGATGTTGGGTGTGGTCTATTATACTAATGAGTTCCTGCTGGGCTTTTTCTACAAAAAAAAGCCCTGCAGAACACAATTGCCAACAGGGCCCCTTGGCAGTTATGAGAACTTTGTAATGTGTGGTTAGCTGCTCAACTCAGGGCCAAACTAGACACGATGGAGTCCTCCTGAGGACACCGTCACATAGTTGGAGGGCGGAACTCAGCATGCCTGGACATGTTGGGGTGTGTGTGTGTGCCCTACATCACTCTGTGTGTTCTCTCCTAGAATGGGATGTCTCTCTGTCTTCACCTGGGAATTGCCCTCTGGCCCCTCCCCCCCTCTGGTTTTTGCTCTCCCCCATTCTCTGCATGCCTCTGCACGGAGTCACGCATCTCCACAGGTCTCCCCTGTAGAAACGATGCCCTCATACTTCCCCCCACACACATGATGCTGATGCTGGATTTAGCTGGCCACTTGTGACAGGGAAAGCATTCTCTCGCCTCTTGACAGCCACCCGCATGTGAACAGAACCTACTTATTTATTATTTTATACTACTATTATTTATTTTATTTATCTAATTTATACCCCACCCTCCCTGCTTTACAGCCAGCTCAGGGCAGCTCATAGGGTTTCCAAGTCGGATCGGCGCCAGAGCGGGGGACTCCAGTGCTGCTCCGGGAGTGCGTGTGCGCGTGCAAAGCCGCCGGCGGATCGGGCCCCCAGCATGGTCACGTCACTTCCGGGGTGACGTGACCATGCCGGGCACGCTGGGGGCGGGGCCACGACCATCCGAGGGAAAACCATAGAGTTTTCCCTCGGATGACCGTGGCCCCCGCCCCCAGCGTGCCCGGCGTGGTCGCGTCACTTCTGGGTGGCGTTCCCCCTGGGGCCCGATCCGCCGCCGGCGGGGAACGGGCCTCTGGGGCGGGGGTTTCCCAGCCCCCCGGGGGGACTTGGCCAGCCTAGCGGCTTATAGTAATAAGTACAGTACAGTTAAAATCACATAAAATCATCTAAAAACAGTACAACAGTAAACAATCCTAATGTATCAAGTGCTGCCTAATAAATACTTGTTATAAGAGGGCGTTCTTAAGAGTGTATACAGATCTCACCATCATTCTGCTCAAGTTCTTCCTAACAAACAGACGGCGCAGGCTAGGTGTCGGGAACCAAGGGCCAGGGTCATAGTTAAAGCTGTTAATGTGTTAATGTGGTGGCAGCTCCTAATTAAAGGCCTGGTGGAAGAACTCCATCTTGCAAGCCCTGCAGAACTGTAAGAGATCCCGCAGGGCCCTGATCTCTTCCGGGAGCTCATTCCACCAGTACAGAGCCACCACAGAAAAGGCCCTGGCCCTGGCAATAGCAAGCCTGGCTTCTACTTGAATAAATGTAATTTTTTCCCCTTGCAATATACTTCTCAGGAGATTTATTTACTGCTGTCATGATCTGGGCTGTGCCACCAGAGGCCTACTAGGCGCAGGGAGCCTGGCTAGCAGTAGCTGAGGCTGGGCCTACAACTCCCAGAAGCCCCTGAGAGGTTTTGGAGCCAAAATTGACCAATAGGGAAGAAGAGGGCTGGGGGACAAAAGGGCTGGTGCCAGAGCAGAAGCAGTTTGTTCTTCTTCCCAAAGGGCAGAGCTAGAAGGAAAGCTCCTGCAGGAAGAGACCCTCATCCTGAGGGAAGAGACCCTCATCCTGAGGGAAGGGTGAGTAGTCTAAGACCACTGCAGATAGTGAGCTGGGGACAGTATATATTTAGACGTGTTAGGGCATTTGATTTCTTTTCTTTTCACCCACTTACTGTTATTATTCTGCACCTTGTTTGTTTGACCTCCTATAAAATACACCTTTTCCTTGTTTCACTCTGCCTGGTCCTCACGCCTGTTATTCCGCCAAAAGGGAGGTTTGAAGGTCTTGGGAGGGTACTCTGGGACTTCTCAAGGGAACCTAAATCCAGAGTGGTGGCAGCGTCAGGTGACACCCCACCTGAGCTGTGACAACTGCACTCAATCTCATGCTTCCATGACTGGGCAGACTCTGCTATATTAACCAAATATCCCAATACACATCTAGTTTGGTCCTCAGTAGGGCCAAAGGCAAGTCTGTTTGTGTGGAGGGGGAGTGTGTTTCCCCACAGTAATGTGAGGGGAAGAGAAAAGGTTAAGTCGTCCTCTGCGCTGGCCTCTCCATTGATATTGTGACTCTAGCCGCTGCATTCAGTGACACAACAAAACTACAAACTTTCTTACAAACACAGAACTCCACCTAATAAGTAATTCTGCCCTTGGAGATAGATTTATCTCAGTGAGGGCAAGGCCGATGTTATTTTCTATCTTGAAGTGTTTCCTTCGAACTATCTTCTCCAGTCCTGGATTCAAACCAAAATGAAGGGGAAGCCATGTGCTATGATTAGATACCAAACTTTGCTGCCAGTCGCTAATGACGAGGAGCAGTGGGGACTCTGTGCCTTCTTGAGCTACATTTACCTTTTGTACAGGCGACGGAGAAGCAGAATTGAAATCCAATGCTAAGTAATCAAGGCTGAACTTCTTTGGCCATTGGAAAGCCCCATTGCATGGAGAGGTCGCTTGCCGGTGCTCCTGTTGGGGAATGAGAATCATTAACCATCATAAACAACAAATTCTTTGAGTGCCTAAAATTGCTAAGCACTGTTGGAAACAGGGGTCATTTCCTGCCGGAGTGCTCCGGAGCGGCGCTCTAGCAGTAAGGAACCCATGCCTGGCTTCCCAGCCCAATCTTCTCCAGGTGCCCCACAGCTGGGCTGGGAGAAGATCGGGCTGGGAAACCAGGCATGTCTACCCACCTCCCCTTCCTTCTCCAGCCAGCCCTGTGGCACAACTCTAGAGAGAAGGGGTTTAAATCCCTTCTCTCTTCACTTTCCCCCCACCCCACCTTGGCAGGTCTGCTGGGGAAGGGAAGGGGAGGCTTTTGAAGATGCCTCCCGCTTTTCTGCTTCCCCTTCTGACACACTTCTGGGGATGTCAGTGTGTGTGGCGTATGCTAATGAGTTATAGGTATGCTAATGAACTCCTGCACCTCTTTTTCTACGAAATGACCCCTGGTCGGAAATATATTGAAAAATGACAAACGGAATGAGCAAACCTCCAAGCCAGATTAACACCCTCCTGCCCCAATATGGGGAAATTAGGCAGGAGAGGGGGAGAAACAGGAGAGGCAAAAAGTCGGCCTGCATCCTACTAGGCCTCTCCACAAAGTTTGAAGTTTTCTTCCACCCAAAGAGCCTTCCTCTGATGCATAAGGTACCACAGGCCCGTTCTGGCAGCTTCCTCAGCTAGAAGGTATCCACAGCTGGCTGCCAGGATCCTACAAGTGGAATTTTCAGATGAATGGCAGCTGGGAAAAAAACCTGACAATTGAAGAGATGGGGGGGGTTGTTCCTGAGCGTGTGCAGATTTCTCTAGAAGATGGAGTTCCAGAGAAGAAAAATGGGGAGCAGTGAGCATGGAAGATGGCAGAAGAGAAACCTTCTAGGGTGGGCTTTTTGTTCCAGAGCAGGGTTCCCCCACCACAGTGCCTTTGGGCAACCTGGTGCCCACCAGTACTTCCCCTGGTCCCCTTTGGGCTTTTGAAGAAGAAGAAGAAGAAGAAGAAGACGAAGAAGAAGAAGAGATTGGATTTCTACCCCGCCCTTCACTACCCAAGGGAATCTCAGAGCGGCTTACAAACTCCTTTCCCTTCCCCTCCCCACAACAGACACCCTGTGAGGTGGGTGGGGCTGAGAGAGCTCTTGACAGAAACTGCTCTTTTTCAAGGACAGCTCTTATCAGAACTATCCAGTAAAACTATCAGAACTATGGCTTGCCCAATGTCATCCAGCCAGGTGCAAGCGGAGGAGTGGGGAATCAAACCCGGTTCTCCCAGATTAGAGTCTGCGCACTTCACCACTACACCAAACTGGCTCTCAAAGTGGGTGGGACCGTTGTCAGGCGTTACTGGCTGCCCTCCGCCCCCCGTGGCAGCCATTTGCAGTGGTGCTCACCACTGCTCAAAATCCTAGAGGTGCCCGCGGGCTCAAGAAGGTTGGGGGCGCCTGTTCCCGAGTCCTTCCTGCTGCTGTGAGGAAAAGTTGCTTCTCCGAGCAGATGACATGCCTTGCCAAGAATCCAGACCTTTCTGGAGCGACTGAGTAGGAACCCAAAGACCTTTCTGGAGTGACTAAGTAGGAACCCAAAGACTGAAAATTATTTACTTCCTTGCCCTGGCTTTGGGACTACTCAACATGTTTGATGGTTAGCCCTGTTCTGTGCAAAAAAAACCCACCCCAGTTTATTGTTAACTGTTAATTTATGTGCAGAATTGAGTATGTGATTTTATAGAGTTTTAAAGATTTTTATGGTATATTATTGGTACATGGTACCGCTTTGTTAGCCGCCCTGAGCCGTTTGCGGGATGGGCGGGGTATAAATATGATAAATAAATAAATAAATATACTTCTGGCGCTCCCCACCTTTCAACAAGAGCCGTGCTTGTTTCAGGAGCAGTTCAGGTTTCGAACGTGGCATCCACAACTCAGTGACCTCCAACCCTTCCCTTTTAAGGCTGAAAGGGTGACCGAGGGAAGCCCCTGATGGCAAAGACAGGCTCTTTCGCTTGGAGGAAGGCTTCAGACTTTGCTGAGCAGTTGTAGGATGCAGGTCCGTACATTTTCACTTGTAGTTTTTTTGTTTTTTTTTAAGGGCTCTGCAGAGATGACAGTGAAAGGCTGAAGGACAAAGAATTCCAGTGGGCGGGTGCAGCCAAAGCCAGCAGGAGGGGCCAAAGTCCAGGAGTCAAGCAACTGCCTTGCGTGCAGAAGGTCCCTGGTCCAATCCCTCCGGCACCTCCAGTTAAAAGCATCTCAAATAACAGATTCTGGGGAATACTTTTATCTGCCAGATAGCCTGAAGAGCTCCTGTCAGAGGCAGAGCAAGCAATACTGGGCTCACTGGTCGAACATCTGCTTTAAGTGCATGCCCCAGGCACTGCCATCTCCACCGAAGGGACTTGCAGCGCAAATGCTATGCTCGCCACATTGACTGGCAGCAAAGTAAACCAAACCAACGAAGCAACCATTTATTTGCAGGCATTCCCCACTGTGGCCTTTTGCATCTGTGAAATGCCTTACCCACCTTCTATAAGAGCTACACACAGTAAATCACCCCAATTTCCCAGACAACAATAAAGAGACAATGGAGAATGTGAAGGGGCCCTGAGCAGTGGCAACATTTTCGTTCATCGTGTCCTTTTTGCAGAAGTTTCCCCCTTGTAGTAAACTGCTACACGGGAGCATTTAGAAGCTCAAAACAGCAAAGCAAAGGGGGTCAGATCCTGGTGAATCCAGCCTTTTGCTAAACAGTGGAGCAGCTGCTGTTTATACACCAATTTGGTGTAGTGGTTAAGTGCGCGGACTCTAATCTGGGATAACCGGGTTTGATTCCCCACTCCTCCACTTGCACCTGCTGGGTGACCTTGGGCAAGCCATAGTTCTGGCACAGCTGTTCTTGAAAAAGAGCAGTTTCTGTCAGAGCTCTCTCAGCCCCGCCTACCTCACCGGGTGTCTGTTGTGGGGAGGGGAAGGGAAAGGAGTTTGTAAGCCGCTCTGAGACCCCCTTGGGTAGTAAAGGGTGGGGTATAATCCAGCCTCTTTTTCTTCTTTTACCTCACAGGGTGTCTGTTGTGGGGAGGGGAAGGGAAAGGAGTTTGTAAGCCGCTCTGAGACCCCCTTGGGTAGTGAAGGGCGGGGTATAAATCCAGTCTCTTCTTCTTTTACCTCACAGGGTGTCTGTTGTGGGGAGGGGAAGGGAAAGGAGTTTGTAAGCCGCTCTGAGACCCCCTTGGGCAGTGAAGGGCGGGGTATAAATCCAGTCTCTTCTTCTTTTACCTCACAGGGTGTCTGTTGTGGGGAGGGGAAGGGAAAGGAGTTTGTAAGCCACTCTGAGACCCCCTTGGGTAGTGAAGGGCGGGGTATAAATCCAATCCAATCTTTTCTCTTCTTCTTTTTCTTCTTCTACTTATACCACGTCCAAGTTATGTTGGTGAAAATTAGTTTACACCCGTAATTCCAAAAGAAGATGCGATTGGCTTGATTCTACCCAACTATTCTACGCACTGGAGGGAACCTTGGACATATTTGCATGACCCCGTCCTCCCTTCCCATGCCACGAGTTAGCTGGTTTGGGCAGGAAACCAGGCTGTTGATTCCAAACAGGCAAACTGTGCCAGGAATATACTTGGCTTGCGATCCTGGTTTACAAAGCAAACACACAACCACAGTTTGGCAGCTCTCATGAAAAAAACAATAACAACCCAAACCAGGAAGTAACTGATTAGGCTGCAGTGTGCAAGGCACGGAGCAGGTCAGACCAGCAAGCCTGAAACTCCTCCCAGCCTTGTCCTTTCGCCAGAGCTGGTCCAAGCTATTTGGTCCGCCCGGACAAAACGCATCCATCCCCTCTGCGCTTCTACCACCACCACCAGCAGCAGCAGGGGCTAAACCAAGCCATTCGGCTTAGACCCAGCCAGCGGTGGCATGGCTCCAGGAGGAGATCTGGTCACCTGCCGATTCAGAGCTCTTTTTGTAGAAAAAGCCCAGCAGGAACTCATTAGCATAATAGGCCACACCCAGCAGCAGAAACTCACCACATTAGGCCACACCCCTGACAGCACAGCTCATTAGCATAATAAGCCATACCCCTGTGCAGGAAGCCCGGGCAAGCCAGCCCTTGGACAGGCCTCCCCGATCCTTCCAGGGGCCCCCTTGGCCCACCCACCTCGGAGTTGCTGGGGTGTGTGTGTCGCTGTCCAGGCCTTCCCTCTGTAGCCACGCACACGTTTTGGCTGTAGTGGGCGTGGCCACCTCTGAAGCCAGCCGGAACTCCGTTCCTGTGCGTTCCTGCCCTGAAATAGCCCTGCCTGCCATACTACTGATGGGTGGCACTAAAGTGAGCCTGCGGAGGACACTGGCATCCTCCTAACGGTGCAACCTGGGGATGCCAACCTCCAGGTGGGACCTGAGGATCCCCCGGAATTACAGCTCGTCTCCAGACTACAGAGATCAACTCCCCCGGAGAAAAGGGATGCTTTGGAGGGTGGACTGTAGGTCATTGTGCCCCACTGAGGTCCCTGTCCTCCCCAGGCTCCGGCCCCAAATCTCCAGGAGTTTCCCAACCTGGACCTGACAACCCTACTCCCCCCACATCCCCCGCTGGTGGCCAGGGGGGACCTGGCGACCCTATGGCAACCCCAGGCAGTTGTCCGAGAGACTTGGTTGGAGAATCAGCCTTGTCTTCGGCAGCAAGCCGTGATGTGCCCCTGCAGCCAAGTCCAGAAAGACTGTTGCTAAAGAACCCAAGAAAGACAAGCAGGGATAAACCTCAGAGCTCCTGCAGAGCAATCTCTTCCTCTCCCCCCACCCTCCATTTGTCAGGAGGTAAAGGACAACCCCCTCCTTCCTATGCCGGAAGCATCCCTCTCAGCAGCCGACAGGCAGCCAAGCAAGGAGTGCGGCCCTCCCCTGGAGGACCCGGAATCCTGGCCAGGCGGCCCGGCCGAGGAGGCCCCGCTAGAAAAGGAGGAAGGAAAGGGCAGTCAGGAGACAGGGCGACATGCCAAGGGGCTGATAGATGGAGAGACGGGTGGGGGACAGCAGGACATCCCCCTCAGCAGCCGACAGGCAGGCAAGCAAGGAGTGCCACCCTTCCCTGGAGGACCCAGAATCCTGGCCATGCGGCCCAGCCGAAGATGCCCCACTAGAAAAGGAGGAAGTAAAGGGCAGTCAGGAGACTGGGCGACACGGCAAGGGGCTGATAGACGGAGAGATGGGTGGGGGAAGGCAGGAATCGCAAGGGAATCTGTTAGCCTGGCTCTGGTCCTTTAAGGAGTGGGCGGTGAGGGACGCAGGTGAGACAGCTACACCCAATAAAGAGAACCTATGCTGCCCCCAGTCAGCGTTATCTGTAGTTTAGTAAAACTGCTCTTTAAGACTTGTGCACCTGGGAATTGGAGTCCACAGTTAGGGGTCCCAGAAGCTTCCCTCTGACTGGCTCATTAAGAGTAATTTCCTGAGCTCAGAGGCGCAAAGATAGGATTTTATTGTTCTTTTCTGTTTCTTTGTTCATCAACCCTTACTGCAAGGAGAGGGGAAGCCCATCTCTTTCTCACCACGGCGATAGAATTTGACTTAGATGTAACTTCCACCCAGATATATCAGCCCGACTGTGAGTAACTGATTTCTGAATGCGTGTGAAGTTGAATAAAGACGATTTAAGTTGTCATTAGTAGTCGTGCGTTGACTCACACCTAAAAAGTGCTGGCTTAGCACAGCTCGCACTGGACAGGACAGTGAGAAAGAGAGATGATGCATTTTCCCCTCCGGTATCCAGCCCTTAAAGGAAAAAAGCATCAAAGCTATACAGAACCGCAGGTGGAACCCGAGGAGGATTGGTTGGCATTCGGGAAAGGGAGACGGAGAGGAGGGAGCCGAGGACCCGGGAGGTCAAATCCACTCGTACCCTTCTGCCCGGGACCAACTGGTGTGTTCACGAGTGCTGTAACTCCGTGACCACCAGTCTGAGGTGACCCCGGGACTTTAAGGTTTGGCTGTCGTCCTTGACGTCCCGAATGATCGACTCCTACCCCACCCACCTCCGGATGCTGGCACCATTTTTGCTGGGATCTAATGCAGAGGTTCCGAGACGAAGCTTCCCAATTGCCACTCGGTCACCCTCCCCTCCCCGGTCTCTCCTCCTCTCCTGGCCCCCCACCCCCACCCCACTTGCTTGGCAACTTAGTTCATGCCCTGGCACCGTCCCTTGGCCTACGTCCAGCCATCGTTCTTTCGACTTGCGCTCCTTCCCCAAACCCCCCTTGAAGAAAGCCTGCCCTGTGTAGCACCTGGCGGAAAGCAGGAGGCAGAAGAAGAGGAAAGAACATCTTCAGTGTTTTGTGTGTTCCTGGGAGATTCAGTAGAGGCCTTGTCTAACATGGCAGCCAGAGTTGGCGCCTTGCCTTCGGCGGATTGTCATGGAAATATGCCCAATCCTTGCGACTGCTTGGGAAAAGCGCCACTGACATTCCCGTAAACAGCTGAGGCCTGGCAAAGGGAGGGTGAGGGGGAAAGGACTTCCCTTATCACCCTCTAAACCAGGCCTTGTATTATTCACTCCCCCACCACCACCTTCCCTCTAGGAGGGCAAAGGGAAGGCCTGCCACACGTTTTTGGACTCCCGAGCCTTCCGTTCACGTGATTTGGCACACGAGCCATAGGAAAATGATTACCATTTGAATGTAGCTTTCTTCCTCTTCTCCGGAAATTGAACTGGCAAAGACCCTGGCTGAATTAATGCCGTCTCTTTCTGGAGAGATAAAGCTTGTTCGATTGCTGGTGGGGGAGAAAGAGGGGGGGGGCACAAAACACAAACACAGACAGAGTCAAGGAAGAGTTTCTGCAGATGCACTGAAGCCGAGCCAAAGTCTGACACAGCCTACGTGGTGGGGAATAGGCCTGACCCAGGCCCCACTCCATTAGGGCAGCTCTCTCTGAACGACAAAGTAGGTTATGTTCTCATCAGCGTAACCTTGGCGGATGATTCATTTCTGCTACTGAAGCTGACAGGACTTTTTTCTTTTCTTTTTTAAATGCCAGCCAGCAGTGCGAGGAGAAAGCAGCAGGCCTCAAAGAACTGTCAGGTAAGGAGCATAAATTGAGGCAGACACCGATCACATCTGGGGCCTGCGCACACCCTTGCTTGTATGGCCACCGACATTTTGGAGACGAGAATAAGTTGATTAGCTCTGGCGGCTGCACGCACCGCGTCTGCAATGCCCTGTGAAAAAAGGCATTCGGCACATGGGAGAGGTCTGCTCCTTGGCTGTTTTGAACATTTGGGGGGGGGGGGGGGAAATTTCAAATATTGCCAAGTTGATTGTCAGATACTGACCACATAGGGTTACCAAGTACTTACCGCGATTCGGCGGGGGACACATGATCCCCGTCCGGAAGATTCCTCCCTGTAACACACCCATGCCGCACCATGCCGTCACCAGGAAGTGACGCTGGGCGACGCTCTGACAATGGGGCTGGAAACTCGATGGTACCACCGGGTTTCCAGCCCCATTGCCAGAGCGTCGCCCAGCGTCACTTCCTGGTGACGGCATGGTGCGGTGTGTCTGTTTTCCACGGGAATGGTCCTGGGAAGAAGTATGTGTCCCCGGCCGAATCGCGGTAAGTACTTGGTAAGCCTGTGACCACATCCTCTTTTTCAAACTTCCTTGGGTCTGCCCTTGAACTCCGTTCAAAAGCTCCCACTGGGGCAAAGCACAGCAGCAAGACTACAAGGCCTGTAAGTGGCTAAGAATGTTTTGTCAATGCTGAAAAGGGTACACTGATTGTCATTTTGGTGGATGCAATTCAAAGGACCGGTGAATCACCGTCAAACAGTTGTCCAGGCCTAAAATAGTTAAAGGACCTCTTGCAGCCACATGAATCTGCCTGTTGGTTAAGATCTTCTTTGGACGCTTCCACTCTCAGAACCAGGAGATGCTACAAAAGGCAGGGCCTGCTCTCCGCTGGCACCTTTTTCTTTGGAACTCCCAGGGCCGGTTCGAGGTGTTTCTGCGCCCTAGGTGAGGCTGCCTTGTGGCGCAGATGCCAATCTCCCAGTGGGGCCTGGAGACCTGGAGACCTCTGGAGCCAGCCACCCATTTGCTGCTGCCACCACCGCCTCCTCCCCCCACCCCCGCCGTCACCAAAGGGGGGGAGGAGGGGGGAGGCACAGCTTGGTGCCCCATCCAGGGCCCGGCGCTCTAGGCGAATGCCTAGTTCGCCTAGTGGGTGAGCCGGCCCTGGGAACTCCTCGCCTACAGCTGCCTGCTCATAGATGCCTGGTGAAATGCCCCCTCCCCACAAACTTTGGGTTGATTTAAAAAAAAAAATGTTTCTGGTTCCCCCTTTCTTTTGCTGTTCTAGCTATTAAAAGAAACACAGCTACACTTTCGAAAACTGGTTTTACTGCTACAGGGTTTTAAGAGAGGGGTTTAAAGACTGCTGCTTTTATTGCCGTACCATTGCTTTATCTTTTAATTCGCTGTTTGAATGTGAAGACTGGAAGCTGCCTGGAGGGTCTACATTCAGAGAGCCAAAAATATTCTAAACAAACAACCCCAGGGCAAAATTACTCCAGAGGAAAGCCAGCCAAGTAGAAATAACCAGGATTCTTCAGCAAGCCCGTCCTCCAAATGAACTAAAAAGCATCTCTGCTTTCCCCACATTAGGGCTGTCAAGTGGGGGCGGGTAAACCCCCGCTCTGGAGGCCCGATTTCCGCTGCCGCTGAATCGGCCCCCGGGGGGAACTCCGCCCCCCGAAGCGCAGCGTGGTTGCGTTACCAGAGGTGACGCAACCATGTCGCTCACGTTGGGGGCGTGGCCCCTATCGTCGGAGGGAAAACCCCTCTGACGATTGGGGCCACACACCCAACGTGAGCGACATAGCGCGTCACTTCCTGTGACGTGCTGGCGGGGTGTGCGCAAACGCATCGCTGGAGAGCTCCCGGAGCCTGGCGAGGCTCCCCCACCGCCAAGGTAAGTACACTTGGCAATCCTACCCCACATAGCTGATTCAGGCCTGCACCACCGAACTGCTAACATGTACCAGGAGGGCTTTCCCCAGCATGGCCTCCAGCAGCCAAGTAAACCTGGCATTTCCTACGGCTATCCTGCTACCGAAACAGAATATACCCTATTCTTCTCTGATGCTTCAAAAAGAACTGGCCAACTGAACTACAGTACTACATACTGATAAGCACAGCACCATTTTGGAAGAAAACAGTGCTTCTAACACAACAGACCTGGCTGCTAACTAATCCAGAGGATACAGAGAAATAGAAAGATAGAGAGAGAGAGAGGATAGGGGCCCTCACAACAATGATTGGAACATAAGCCATCTTAGCAAGAGCTAAGAGACATAATTCCTGACCAATGCTCCCTCTAAGCTGTGGAGTCTTATGAGCAAAAATCCTACTTTGTGAGCGACTGGCATTAATGTTGTGAACGAGTGATTTGGCTACTGCATAAATTAGTTTGCTCTGGAGCCATTCTTCCTGCGCTAAGACAAAAATAGGTGAGCCGGAGGCTAAAGAACTGTGAGCTAGCTCACACTAACTCAGCTTAGAGGGAATACTGTGGAGTCCTGACATTTTTTTTTTTAGCTGAAAAACAGCTGTGGGAAGGGACCAGTTTGAACTGAGGAAAGGTGGGTGGGGGTGAGTGGCTGTGGAACCCTTTCTCCTCCCGCCATCGTTCTCAAAATCATCCACACCAAGCCATTTTCTCCTGCAGAAGAAAACAGAAAGGGGCCCAGTGGCGACAGCTATGGTGGTGGTGGGAAGAGGAAAGGCCCTGAGGCAACTGCCTTCTGGACTGAAGAATGCCCAAGCCTCCTTTTCCCTCCACCCCCAACCGCCCACAATCAAATAAAAAGGGGGACGCAAGCTTTAAAATAAAGATTGGCAGCACCTAAGCAATGTGCTTCCTACAGGTCTCTTATTCTGCAGACCTGCTAGACGAAGGCTGTACTTGTATGTGAGGTAAACAGAGACCCCCTGCTGCTTAGGTCCTCTGACTTGACAGGCAAGACCCAGGTGGAGATAAACAGCAAAGGTTTATTTAACAGAAAATAAAGTATTTAGGCCCTGTTCAGACGGACCATTTGCCGCGCTAAAGGCACGACTGTCATGCGGATTTTTGGTGCACAATCACACCGCAACATCTGGGAAGCGTAGCGCATCCATGGCCAACCCGTGGCATCCTGCCAAAGATGCGCAGTAAAAAAGTACCGCGGAAAGTACACTAGTATCTGGAAAATGTGGGGCAGGGGCGGGCGTCTGATTGCAGGAGCGCTAGTATCCCGTGGCATCCGGCGCCCGTCCATGTCCCCTCGCAAACCGGATGTTTTTCATAAGCGCATGTGCTTGTAACTGAAAGCAGTGCTGCTTCGTGGAACTGCGCATGCACACAAGCGCAAAATGCTTGCCGCGCCGCTTCTTTGCCACGCTCCAGCATCGCCGTGTGATCGCCAGCTAACAGCCTAAGCGCGAAGCCTCGGGGGACCGTGTGATCGGGCGACCGCACTTTATTTTGCTCCGGGGCAAACAGCCACGCCTCCCCCCCGCGTTATCTGGCCCGTATGACCGGGGCCAATAAAAAGCAAATGTGCATATTTTCCAATCAAACTCTGTGTGCAATATCTGTTCGTGTCTCGCGGCTCTCAGACATCTGACGTTTATTCTATGTGGCTCTTAGGTTGAGCAAGTTTGGCCACCCCTGGTCTACATCCTCTTCCAAATTCCCTGTCCTCACCATTTCCCTTCAAACATCACTTCTGATTTTCTCGTTCGCGTCACACGCACGCTGCGCTGGAGGCCTCCTGACACCCTCCTGACACCCACGATGTCGACACACTCTGTCTCCTCGGGTCTCCTGCCCCAGGAGTGGTCGTGTGAAAACCTCAGAGCCCCTCTCTGGATGTGGAACGAGACGCCCTTTCAAGGAGCCCTGCGTTTACATTCCGCTGCTCCAGCGAGACACGTGAACACCCGGTTGGGAACGCGCCACCTCACAGCTGTCCCTGCACATGTGCCATTACGTAAGATGCCCACGGGCAACAGGAGACACAGAGGATGCCCCGCACTTGGATTTTCCTGAGGCCTAAATCACCAGGATTGGCCAGGTTTCTCCCAGCCATGCTCACTTGCTCCAGACCCAGGCAGAAGTTGAGGCAAACTTGCTTTCCCAGAATTGCAGAGCCCAATTCCGATCAGGACTGCAGTGCGGGGAGAGGAGGGGCCTCTGCCCACCCCCCTGTCATTTTCACAAATCGAAATGGGGGAGGGGTGCCTTTGTCCCATTGCACTCAATATTGCAAGTGCAGCCCCACAACCAGGCAAATACCCCTACTCCCAGCCCACAAGGCTGTTCTGATCCAGGAAAATGTCGTGCCAAGGGAACCCTGAACCTACTCGTTAAAAAACATGTAGTTTGGCTCTAAATTAGGCAAGGATCTCCAGAAGGATGCTTCAGAATCTATTACCTGGGCATTTTCACACTGACAAAAAAAAAGTGGGAGGAAGCCATTTTAAATTCACGTGTATGTCCCAGCCACGTATTACATTCACACCCTGAAAGGGTAATAATGATTCAAGAATCAGAATCTATTACCTGGGCATTTTCACACTGACAAAAAAAAGTGGGAGGAAGCCATTTTAAATTCACGTGTATGTCCCAGCCACGTATTACATTCACACCCTGAAAGGGTAATAATGATTCAAGAATCACCTCAATTGATTGCCTATACATTTGCAAGCCACAAAATGCAACATTGTTGAGGCATGCAGTCTAGAACAGGGGTGTCAAACATGTGGCCCAGGGGCCGGATTAGGCCCCCGGAGGGCTTCCATCAGGCCCACAGTGGAACTGACTCTGCTCTGCTTCTTCTTCCATTTCTGCTGCTGCTGCTACGTCATCGTAGGTTTGCAGCTTACAGATACACACCTGAAAACTATACTCATGATTGCAACAGCACAGACATTTTGATGCGATGATTCAGAGCAAGAGGTGTCAGTTATCAGACACTGTTAAATAAACAAAACATTGCAAGAGTGCTAATGTTTTAAGCATGTTTTTATTTTAAGTCATAAAACCCCTTTGTGTTTGTGTCCTTTTATAAAGTTTATATCTCCACTACCTGGCAGTACATTTTATGGCACACATGGCCTGGCCCAACAAGGTCTCATTTATGTCAGATCCGGCCCTCATAACAAATGAGTTTGACACCCCTGGTCTAGAAGGAGGTGTGTTACTGAAATCTTTCTCTTAAAAAAAGAAGAAGCCAATTTATGACTTTCAAAAGGCTGGGACGGGTTCCATGGAATTTGTATTGGAAGTCTGTTTAGAGAGGGAGACTTCGCTCACAGACGATTTCTTGGGGAATGAGAAATTATTTATAACTTTCCTGTTGGAAATGCAAATGCTTTAAGAAGGCTGTCATGATAACTATAAAAAAGGCTGTCATGATAACTAAAACAAAATCCACACTGCACTACGAAATTCACAATTTATTGGCAACAATCTGACCGAACTAGCACAGAAAAATCAATGCATCGAATGATGCCTCTCACTTCAAAATGTTTCGATTGATGTTTCCTTCAGTGGCCAGAACAGAACGGTTAAAAGGTCTAAAATGACATCTGGCAGCATTCAGTGCAACTTGCTAGTAACTTCTTCCTATCCACCATTAAAAAATGCAAACATCTGTTTTCCAGACTTACCGATTTTGAAACAAATATTCAGAGCAAACAGAATGGGTAGAAATGTAAAACAATGACTTAAGACATCCTCAGTTTAAATCAACACCTCGAGGTGGTCTTTCATCTCAGTGGCTCAGGCTGATTCAACAGTGGACAATTTCCCCTTCCACTGGTAGTAAGCATATCGCTATAGTAATAGACCTACTATCGTTTTTTAAAACATGGGGAAAAGCCCTCCAGTGGCAGTGAGGAAAATGGCGGGCACGAGGGGACCAAAAGGGCAAGTGGGGCCAAACATGGCAGGGAGGTTCAGAAATCTACACCTTCCTGCCCACATTCCACATGTGGGGAAACCAGTTTCGACTCTGATCTTTTTGGAACCCTTTGAGCAAAGCAGGTTCAGGAAACACTGGGGCAGATCTTTGGAAGACCCTGAGCATGACTGGAGGAGCATGGGCGGCGGATGACATCATGTGGATGCTCTGAGAAACCCCACTCCACTTGAAGAGCTAGACCCTCTGTTTGGAAGCATCTCCAGAACATTATACAGCCAGCTCAGCAATATGCAAAGCTGCTGACCAGCACAATTTCTGTAAACATCTTCCCTTCTAAAGGGTAACCAGCTAAAAAAACAACAACAGTCAGTCAGGACACTCACTAAGGCACAGTCCACGTTCTGGTCAAGGCAGCATGTTCCCTGATGGTGGAGAGGTTTCGCAGATCCAGTGGAGGTGGTCGTGCTGGAAGAAAGAGAGAGACAGAAAGAGAGAGAGAGAGAGGTCTACTTATTGTTCCAGTGCTGGCAAGAAAAGGCAGTGAAGTGCATTCTGGAAGTGTTCTGTGCTCCTGATTGGTACTTTAAGTTCACGGAAGCTGAAAATTACCTGAAGGTGGCAGAGGTTTGTTCCTTGCACACAGAATGTGTGCAGCGCACAGGTTTCCTCCAGAAGCAAAAATTCAGTTTAGAGGCACCGCAAAAGGACCCTTCACATATTAGAAAATCCCTGCACAGAAGCTCCTTCTGTGCAGGCCACCGTGTAAATCTCACATATATGCAGGGGTCATTTCCTGCAGGAGCGCACAGGAGCGGAGCTCCGGCAGTAAGGAGCCCAGGGGGTGGGCACATGCAACAAGCCCCGCCCCCTGCTCCCAGCAGCCCTCAGTTGGGCCACGAGGAGCAAGAAGCAGCCAGGTAATTTGCAGAGCCCCCCCCCCGGCCCGCCTTCAGGTACAAGCTCTCCCTCCTCTGTGAGGACAGATCTGCACGTTCCCCCACCCCCCCAATAGCCAGCAATCCAAAACAGTCCAGTGGCACCTTTAAGACCAAGTTTTATTCAGGTACAAGCTTTCCCTTCTCTGCGAGGGCAGATTTGCACATTCCCCCCTCCCCCAACAGCTAGCAATCCAAAACAGTCCAGTGGAGCCTGAGCGGTGGGTGTTGCCTTCTGACACACTTCTGGTGATGTCAGGGGGTGTGGCATATGCAAATAAGTTATGCAAATAAGTTATGCTAATGAGCTCCTGCACCTCTTTCTCTACGAAATGACCCCTGTATATATCTGATCATCCACATACGATTTCCTACACGGGCGTAGCTTGTAATCAGTGAGTGAAGAGGTCAGAACTCATTTTCTAGTTCCTGAATTCTTGCTCAGGACTCACCTGACCTGGAAGCGAACTCTCTGAGTTCCCTTGACCCACTGGCCTCAATGCCCATTTATGGGTGTCGCATCAACAACCCCACCAAGTCCCCCCCCCCATCTGCTCACAGACCCACCCTTAGAAAACAGCCCCTTACGTTTCCGACGAGGCTTGAGATCCCGGTTCACGGGGGGCGGCTCCAGATCTGTCGGGAGTTCTGGCAAAGGGCTTGAACGTTTTTCAGTGCTGACCGAAGGGAAAGTAAATGTAGCTGAGCCTGGACTCATGGGAATGTAGCCATCCGGTGTGCAGTCTGATCCTGCGATGGGCGGGGAGGCACTGGGGTGCATGGGCACGTAACTGTCCTCAGAACTGTCCGACTGGCAGGAGTAGAGGGGGCTAAACCGACACGGCTTCAGGAAACAAGAAAGAACAGGGAAAGA